GTGATTATGTAGAAAAATAAAATGTTTATTTGCCGAAAAAAATTTGTTTTATTCAAAAAGTCACTGACTTATCAAACCGCCCTCGTAGTTGTAATGCAGTTAAAAGTTGATCGAATATAGCATAGAGCATATATGGAGAGTTTTTAATTGTTAAATTATATAACTCATCGATGAAATTTTTTGATTTAAGAACCCACTAAAGTCGAATAAGATGAAGTTTTCGGACTTCATTTTATATTAAATTTGTGAGATATTCGTAGCGCTATGAGAAGTATATTGAATACTGCTAAAGCATATATAAAGTTTGTTATAGCAAAATTGCAGCAATTCGTAAATGTGATTACTTGATTTAAAAAACAAATGGTGTCGAATGAGAGGGGTTTTTAGATTTCACTGTAACTGCAGAACTTAAAGAGCTAAAAACAAAAATTTGACGAAAAAAGTTTCAGTCGCAAACACTTCAATATCTGTAAAGGGATAAACTTGTATTCCCTGATATAGCACCGGAGATTTCAATCCAAATCAATGATAATTTTTTAATGTAGATTACTAGTATAAAATTTAAATTACATTAATATTGTAATCGTAAAGCTATTAGTGAGTAGGAACACTCAGACTAAAACACATATGTTGTGGTACGAATTGACTTTAACTGAACTGAAGATATTCAGTTTTTCGGATGAATGCAAGAATGTCATTTATTAAAAATTTCTTGATAACAGATGAGTATAGAAACTTTCGATACTTTAAACCCACCTCATTTTATTTAAAATAATGAACAGTTATTTGAAAATTTAACACTCAAATGAATTTACTATTAATTATTAAAAATTTTACAACCAAAATGTTGCTTTAATAAGTCTTCCTGGAGCTGTGAGAAAAATGAAGAAAGTTTGTCACAATAATTTTGGCATTAGAGAGGCAACTTCTTACATTAAGAAGACTTCTTAAGAAGATTAAGAAGACTAAGACTATGAAGACTTTTTACACTAAGAAGACTTTTTACACTAAGAAGACTTTTTATACTAAGAAGACTTCTTACACTAAGAAGACTTTTTACACTATGAAGACTTCTTACATTAAGAAGATTTCTTACATTAAGAAGACTTCTTACATTAAGAAGATTTCTGTGAGAAAAATGTTTTTTAAGGTTTTTAAATAGTTCAAACACAACAAAAATATATACCAGAGCTGTCCAAAGACTGGCCTACCTGCCTCAAGCGCCCCGCGACGTGTTACAATTAAGAAAATTTTTCTTTGTTATATTTTAGTGACGTCATATAATCTTATTTTTATGGTATCCCAAATAAATGAATTCAAATGTTTTAAATAATTGATCACATTTCACGTTAATTTACTTAATTGACAAAGACTTTAGTATAATTTCTTAGTTCAACATTATTTTAACATTACATTAAAAATAAAATATTTTTCGTCTGGATATAGCTAGTACTAATAATGTTGATAGAATAATAAGAGATAAATTAATGATGAATTAATAAAACTATATTTATCATTATCGCCATTTATCATTTTTATTTATCTCCGGAAAAATTATGTACGTAGGTATGTATTTATTTCTGCGGCTCTCCAACCATTTGGTGATTTGTATTGGCCCGCGATCTTATCTGGTCTGGAAAGCCCTAATATATACAATAGCAACAACTAGAGAGAGTTGATCTGTTGCTGAACATTAACTCGTGCTATGTGAAGTGTGTATAACTTAACCAACATTAGTTAATTATACTAATTATGTATATAGTTATTATATGAACATTAGCTCGTAGCCTATGTGGTTATTGTACCGTTTCAGGATTCAGTATTACATTACTTTTTTATTATAGTTAATTATGAAATGTAAAATTCATAAAGTACAAATAACTAGAAATATTGAATATAAGCTGTCAAGATTTTCAGCTTGGGATTGATATATAGTTCTAAATTTGTTTAGAAAACAACTTTACTAGTGTTCATTAACATTTCTGTTAAATTTTCACAATTTTTCATTTTCACAAATTTTTTTTTTCGTGCTTTGGACAGGTGAAAAATTCTTCAAAAAATTGTTATGCATCAGAAAATATTTCAACAAAAAAAAAAATAATAATAAAAATGTACTTATAAATAAGTATATATACAGAGAGAAATGCCCGTAACTATGAGATATATTATACTTAAATACACATGAATATATTCGTCCATAAAGGTATATTTTTATAAGAACATAAAATCATGGACATTAAAGTACAAAAAAAAAAAAAAATCTACCAAAACAGTGAATAATTTAAGCATAATTTTTTATTTATCCACGGAATGAGTTAACGAAAATATTTCAATTAATTTTATTAACATTTAAGCACCTTACACACTGCATATGCACGCACTTACGCACGGTCGCTTAAGAGCAGGGGAAGGAGGGAACACAAAAGTAGTCATGCGTCAGTGCAATTCCGCTACGCATTTTTAACGCGTGAACTGAGGTATGCGGTGAAAAGACAGCAAGCAGCAAGCAGCAAACAGCGTACAACTTACAAAGCACAATACAACAAACAACATACAACATACAACACACATCCCAACACATAAGACACATAAGACACATAGGACAGAGCGAATAGCAAACAACACACAGCGACGAATGACAGTTCCTGATGAATTACACAGCATGTAAGCAGTTGCCGTCCGGTCTCCGTTGCATCTTGTAACGTGTAATTATATTCCCATGTATCGCAAAGGCGGACAAACTAACTAACTAACGATTTGTGAAGTTTTCGCTTTTTTTCCCGGCTGTGGCTAACAAATGCTTAAATGCTTTTTGTGACGAATTGCAGCCTGAAGTGGTGATGTTACCAAGCATTTATGCCTATCGGACGTATAT